GAGCAGCGAGCCCCACTGGCCACAAGCCTCCACCTTGGAGATCTACCCACATTAGGGAACATCTGTCATTTCTCTGCTTTCGGAGATTTTTCAGGGAATCAAACTGCTTTGAGAGTCAAGCGAAATATTTTTTTTTCCCCCAACAACCTGCCAATTAACCTGTCTGTCACTAGAGGACCCAAATTTGGGTCCTCTAGTGACAGAGGTGTCAAACTCCAGTCCTCAAGGGCCTCTGTCCTGCAACTTTTAGATGTGCCTCTGCTGCACCACACCTGAAAAGAATAATTAGGTCATTAGCAAGGCTCAGGAGAACCGATCTACACAGGGAGGAGGTAATTAAGCCATTTCATTCCACTGTTTTTTACCTGTGGCACATCTAAACACTGCAGGACAGCGGCCCTTGAGGACTGGAGTTTGACACCCCTGTCATTGTGAATGACAACCTGAGACCAACAGGTTAAATTCTCATTCAGTGCAAGGTGAAGAGATGTATGTGTTGAAGCCGCTTAATTTAAACTCTTTCTAGGGTATTTCATCATCGACATCTGATCATGACATACCAGATGACACACATCCCGCGTCCTTTTTATGTTTAATCACATCACAGCCGCAAACTCGAATGTCATTTACAAAGGAAATTAGTTCATAAATTGAAGGAAAGTGATGCATAGATTCAAACTTTTGTACAGATAAAAATCTAAAAATTCTATAAAAAAAAAGCATGACTAACAATTTTCCCTGGCAGTAATGAATAAATACAGCTCACCCACTGAAGAACAGACTTGATTTGAACATCAAACCTCATTTAAACATGAGTCAATGTGCCTCTAAATTATAAAACTTTTGTCTACATTTAGACCATGTGCAAATTAGAAGTTTCTAAAACCTGGAAGAATTTAACAGGCCAAACTGAAACACAAAGAAAGCTTTGTTCGATTCAGTATGAATGGTTTTTCTTGATTATTTTTTCAGTTGCGATATTGCAGAAACAAAGTCAATGTGCAGAAACAGCATTTTTTTTTCTGTAAAATGGAGCGAACAGGGGGAAATCTGTTCATAGTTGTGTTTTACCGGTGGATGGAAATATGAATTTTGTACATTCGTCATGACGCGATCATCCGAGTAAACTGATCAGGTCAGACAAAGAGAGCAATAGACAGAGAAACAGCCAAGAAGCCCCTGGCGACTCTGGAAAAGCTGCAGAGATGCACAGCTCAGGTGGGAGAATCTGTGGACAGGACAACTTTCAGTTCTGCGCTCCACAAATCTAAGCTTACCGGAAGAGCGACAAGAAGAAAACACATTGTTTAAATAAATCTGAAATTTGCTGCAAACCATGCGAAGGACATGGCAAACAACAAAATACTCCTGCTGATATTACAACAAAGTGTGGATCTCTAGTGTTGTGGCTTATTGCAAATGCATGCCACACTTTTCAGCTTTCAGTATAATTTTTCTTCCACTTCACAGTTGCTTTTATAACAAAATGCACTATTGATTGTAATGTAATCTGAAATATTTGATGTTAATATTTTCCTAAGGCACTGCAAGCCCGCTTAATACGTCCTTCAGACTCACTTCCACGCTGACTGATAATCATTTAATATAATTATGCATAATATTTTTGGATATTGCTGCTAATTATGTTGTAAATGCATGGTCTTGTTTTGACATGATTCACATGAATAATATGTTAGTTATGGCTCATGAAATCACAATAAATAAGCACATTAATTTTTAGTTGTGCTGTTTAATTTTCCAAGTAACGATGATGAATTGTCTAATTTCGGGGAAGAGCGCCATAATTTCAGAGGCAATCGTTTCCAGGCACTCTCTGCATCTGCTGCTGGGAGAAGCACTGTGTCAAGAATGTGGAGTTTAAAGTGGAATGTTATGAAATTCAATTTGCTTGAACGTATCTCAAATTGTTCAGGCCACAATCAGCCCTGTGACTGTGAGATGGCCTGCCAAGAGTACAGGGGAAAAGATACTCTGTTGTTGATGGTAGCTTCTTTTTCCTTTTTTTTTTTTAACCCATCCCACCATAATTATCCCCTTAGGTAAACATTTTATCTCGGCAGCAATGAAAACCTTACTGACTGCCTCAGTAGGCCAGGACCAAGTTTGGGTCACATGAAAAAAATGTCTACTTTGTTGGCTTTTAAAAGCGGCATTCACAGAGATCGGCTTATCTTTGTGGATCTGAAGATGCTGACTTTACTTGGCACGGTTTGGATTTGGCCACAAGCAGGGTGGTGACTTTGAGACCTAATAAAATCTCAATTTGGAGGAGAACATGTGAGAACGGAAAACCGCGTGGAAATAGATTTTCTTGGACGAGTGTCCGTGCCCGACTTTATAAGCGCATGTGATTGAAAACAGAACCTTCTTGTCCAAAGGGTTCACATGATGGTCAGATCTTCAAATTAAAATGCGATTCATTGAAGTCAGTGGAGGATAAAAGACAAATAAAAAGCTTGGATGGATCTTACGAATCGTTTAGAATTTGAGGCTGTCCTCTTGGCTTGACTAATTTCACATAGGCCCCTGTGGTTTACCAAATTATTTTAATGGCCATATTTACATTTTTGGGGCAGTTTGTTGCTGTCTTCTCATCACTCTCTGTAATGTTATTCCATCTGGTGCCACAGTGTTTTCCCCATTTCCCATAGGTTTCATTACTAAACACAAGGGCTGCCACGCTGAACATGTTAACATGCATTACAACCACAAATTTTAATGTATTTAATGTGCAAATTCTTAATCGACAGAAATCTTCAAAGTGTGGCGTGTATTTGTGTTTACTTTAATACCCCAACTAAAACCCAATCCCTTCACATAGTCACCTATTCTGTCATGTTAATTAGTCTTTTTATGTATTTAAATCTATTGATCAAAATAAGTGACAATATGTTGCTGTTTTACATAGTCCTAATTCGTGTGGCTGTAGACTTTGCTAAATTTCCTTGTAAAAGAGATTACAGATATCAGTGAGACTTCCTGTTTAAATGAATGCATGCTAATAATAATAATAATAATAATAATAATAATAATAATAATAATAATAATAATAACACGTTAGATTTAAACAGGGTTACAAAACACCTTTTATTTCAAAGCAGTTTTGCATAAGTACAATCCAAGTATTGTCCAAGTGTTACTGTTGTTATGGTGAGTTGAGAGACTAAGATACTTAATTTGCTCAATAATCAAAGTCTAAAGTTAGTAATTGGATTTACTTCAATCATTGAAAGTCAGAGTTATTTTTGTAAAGATCTGTGGGTTGTCACAAGTGACTCACTGTTTCATTTTCAGATTTTCACTCCCAGAACCGGTATTTTTGCATACCGGGAGGGTGACTGAGTAGGTGCATGCAAATGTGTTTTCCTGTTTATTTAGCACGACTACCAGTGATATCTAATTATAGCATTCACGTTTTCATTGCGAAAACTGAACAGGACTTGCCAGGACTTGCAAATAACTAAACAGATAATAAACTGAAAAAAACCCATTTTGCTACAAGTAAAACAGACAAAAGTGCCAAGAAAAGTTCTGAATGTATTTATTTAATTATTGGTTTATCCTCTTTGTTGCTGTTTTTTTGTACTTGAACACCTAAATGTTGTCTTTGGATAAAAAAAGGATGGCAGGGTTTTATGATACGTCTCTACTAAGTGCTAAATTTGCAGGTTAACTTTTAGATTTCCATTCTCAGCAATAGCAACAGTCTGTTTTGTTAGCAAACTCATTTTTAGAGCTTTTCTTTCTTTTGCTACAAGAGTATCACCCCAGATTTTAAAAAATGTGAATAAAATATTTGGTCAAAGTTCCTAATTAACTTATATGTAGTTTGCACTATTATACCAAATATAAATTACAAAACTGGCTCACGCCTGTAACACATATGTGTTTTTGTGCTTCATCTTATGCTTCATCTTATTTGGACAACTATTTTATTTTTTAATTTATTACAATATGTTGTAATATGTATGTAATATGTAAAGATAAAACAAATGTAAATACATTTGTTTTATCTTTACATTTGCTCTGTGTTCTCACTTATAGAAGACATCTAGTTTTTTCACACTGTGTCAAATGTCTCTAAATGTTTAATAATCTAATTTTTCTTCTTATAATCATTGCAGACATTGTTCTAAGTACATCCCTATACTCTCTCTTCTCTTAATGCCATCTTTCTCCACTCCAGAATTGACTCAAGCTACTTTAAAATTGTCTTCTGAATCCAAAAAGGGATTGTTTTTTTTTAGATAATAAGATGCATTTTGAATATCTTCCTTGTTTACAAATATTTACTATTTGGTTTTCAATGAGGACTACAAACTTACAGATCTGTTTTCACTCAAAGCAGCTCTTTGGAGTTTAAATATTTATGAATATAACCCTTCATTGTTTTTTTTCTTTATAAGTTACTGTAACACAACACAATAAATTCGTCAAGATCATATTTTCATAATAACAAATTGTACTTACTGGTGACAGTTACAACAGAAATGCATACATTGAAATTGTGGTTTGACATGAATATATTTTTCAATAGAGTGCAACAAATATTATGCAACTTGGAAAAGTACACAATTTCCCGCAATATTTTGTCAATTCAATCCATCAGTATCCGATTAATTCTATCAATGCGGCGAGTTTAATGTAGGCTGGAAAAAAAAAGGTTTAGTTTAATCGCACACACGCAAAAAAAAAAATCACTTAAGGGACAGGTGACTTCATATTACACTACATAAAAAGTTTTAATTTGTCGATTTTTTTATTTGGAACTGTAATACGTCAACATAGAATATAGCCTATACACTCTGCGTTTTAGGTTTTGCTGTACATTTCCACAGGTGGAAAGATATCAGTACTATTAATAGCAATTTATAATTAGAGCTAGGATATCTTGTTAGGTAGGATTCATTGCATCCACTTCTCAGCCAGATGTAAGATAAAGGTGAACACACCCCCACTCACGCGCGCGTGACAAGCATCCTCACCCAGATAAGTTCAGCAGCAGATGGAGCCCTAACACCAGCAGCTCTCGCAGATGAAAGTGAGACTTCCAGCGGGGTTTATGAGCAGTTTCACCGCCGACATACTGTCAGAGTGAGTGAGGAAGAGGCACATAAATGCAGAGCAGCATTCTCTGACGGTGGATAGTAATTGTTTCTATTTCAGGGCAGGAGCTCCTCGCGCTGCAGCGGCTAACCTACAGTAACAGCGGCGCGCGCTTTGGCGGTTGGAACACCACTTTTGCTGATATTACAGTAAACCGTCCGCTAACTGTTACTATAACGACCAGTTTACTAAGAACAACGTCGTCGAGGATGACAAGGACACATTCACAGACGACGTTTACAGCTGCTGTCTGATTTCCTCCGGCATCGAGTCGACCTTACATTTTAACATGTGTCGCTTCTGAACTTCACAGCCTGAAAAGGTAGGCATTGTTTACATGCTAACATGCCCGGTAAACAACTTGATAAGACTTCCTGTGAAAAAAAAGCCGACTATAAGTGGGCTGCTTTGCTGTCATCAGCGTGTCAACTACATTACCGGCTTCAAGTGAAGAGTGGGAAATGGGAATTTAAATGTAAGCTGAGCTCTAAATCAGCTGGAGTTATTTCGCACTATTTGTTTGTCTTTTAAAGGGGACATGTACAGACAGGCTTTACATTTGTAGCGTATGTTACAACTGACTTAACTTTAACAATGGCTTACCAATAGTTGTTCCTATTTGACATAGATTATGAAGTTTTTATGGTGATATAGTGTGTCTATTGTGCATTAATGGTAATTGTAAGCGCAATCAGAGGATGCAATTTTGAATAGTACTGTTTCCTCAGTCATAGTCAACCAGTGTTTCAGAATATCACTGAAAAGTTCTTTTAGGACATTATTTGAATTGAAAGCCATAGATATAGGTTTGTTAAATACAGGTGTTTATTTTTGATAATTTGATAGCTATGTTTAACAGTTTCTCAGAAAGTATTATATAATTCCTATAAAATCATTTTTAAAAAACAATGTTTTGTGCTATAGCCCAATCAATCATGGGTAAGACAGCTGTCTTAATGGTTACTCAACAGACTGTCACTGACATGGTCCTCCAGGTGTGTGAACCACAAAAGGTCATTGATTAAGAAACTGAGGTTTCAGGGTGCTGTATCCAATTGTAATAATATAAAGTTAAGTGGAAGGAAGAAGTTTGGATGTGCATATTTCTCTTGTTGATCCCTTCTAGAACCAGGGATGACCTCTGAAACATTTTACCCACTGTAAGGAGAAAATGATTGGATTGTTGCTCATTTCATTTGCAAATCATGGTCAAAGATTTTGAGTCATGATTTAGGGAGCCATGTTGTCTACTACTGTGTTACTGTAATAAACATGACATAACACCTGTCATGAACATGAATAAGCCTTCATGAATAGTTATGACTGTTGTCATAAAGTGTCATTCGGTAAATCATGACACTTTTAATACAAAGTTGACATTATCCAAAATGTCTTTGTTATGACATCTTGACATTAACCAAGAAATCATTACTGATATAAATTTGTTATAAAAGTATTACTGATTGCACTTTAAAAATCAGGTAACTTTATGTTATTAAAGGTAAAGTTTAAACAGTAATATTAGCAATATTAAAACTCCTGAAACGTCTGCGCTTTTTAGTTTTGGTGTGCTGCCCCACAATAATCAGAGGAAATCATCTGTCCCAACTCTTTGAAAGCTTTCTTGTTTTTTCTTTTGCCTGTGGACAGTCAAGTCCAAACACACACATTGTAAGTTTCCCATTTGACCAGGATAGCTCTCTCTCGGCACAGATGAGGTCATAGTCTTAATGCTGTAGCAGAGATAGAGTTACATTAGTTTCATCAGCACTATGCCAGAGGAATAAAGACCACCTGCACCCCTATTCACATTTATATTATACACCGGTGTTGTAAATCACATATTTTGAACTCAATTTGTGTGATCTACCTATGTTTCTTTTTCTAAAGATAACTTTATAAAGAAATAATGTTCTGCCCGTGGTGAACATAATTAGCCATTTTATACAGTTAGTGTCAGCAGATGGCCACATCTTAGCTTAACTAGTTGTAACTATGGTGTTCTATTTATATCTTTCTTATCACAAGTTTGTGTGCAGTGAGCATCCTTTTGACTTGTCTTGAGGTATGAAACTGAGTTTCATTTCATATGGTTTGAGTTATTTTTAAACAGACAGGATGGTCATGTTTCTTTGGTACATTTTCTTTACATTTAACAGCTAAACCGAAGGACTGGTGTGATGATTTACAGAGTGGGGTGAATCAAAAGGCCTAAATTTTATAATAAATTTGTTTATTTCAAAAAGTGTCATTGTGTTTTGCAGCTAAGTGGCATATATTCAGAGCTTCATATAGCTAATCTGTCAAATTTGATCAGGGGCCTTCTTTTGCAAACAGAGCCTATCTTATTGGTCAAGACAGAAGACATTAGGGAGTTCACTAAACTGTTTGCCAAAGCGTAAGCAAAACATCTGATTATTGTGAATGCATGCGTGTCCTAAAGGTTCAGGCTATTGTGATGTGTCAAAACATGTCTCTTAAGCAAAAAATATAACCTTATAACCTTTTATCAGCATGAGTAGTGTAAAGGCCAACTTATACGCTAGTCAAAAATATGGTTGTTACTTTCAATTAAACAACCCACAGCTGTCGCCTGCATTCCAAGGAGAAGCAGTCACTGATCTGTTTTGATTAGATGTCAAAACTACTCAGAAGCATTGAGACTTCATAACAAACCATCCACAGCTGAAGTCCGGTTATTGTAGATTTCAACACAATGCATCCAAATAGGTGTTAAAGGCCAAAACAGAAGGACATCTGTTTTGGCCTATTTGCAATTTCATGTAGTTACCTTAACTGTAGCTGGACAGTGTTACTCAAACACTGTTCAGATAAAGATTTTTTTTTTCTTTTTTGCTCTTTAGTCTGAGGACTGTTTTTTCTCTTTTCTATAAGGATGACTAGTCACACTGAAAAGGGATCTTCCACGTCAAGGTTAAGTCATTTATTTTCAGCATTGGTGATTCAACTCTTAGGTTGTATAATTTGCAAAAAATACAATTTCATGGTACTTTCACTGGCAGTGGACACCCGTCTGCTGTTGTTTTTTTTTAAATCAACATGCTTAAGACTATACTTTTTATCCAGTACACATAATTATGCTCCACAATTGTAAGAGGTAATGCCAACCTTTTTCCCAGAAGAGATAACCTTTAAAAGTCAGCAATGTTTTCCCCGTGTGAGCCACAGCAGCGCTCTGACAATAGGGATAGTGTTCTGGATCGACCAGAGGCCCAGATCACATTTCCTGTTCCTGATTTAAGATCAACTCAGCTGACTACTGATACAGTCTGCTTCTCAACAACACAGCAAAGGGACCATCACTTTGCTGTTTATTATTTCTGTGTGTGTATGTGCGTGTGTATGAGAGAGTGAGAGAGAGCGAGAATGAGAAAGAGAGAAAGAGAAAACCAGAAATTGATAAGAAGATAGCATGATAGAGAGGGGAATAAAGTAAAGGGTAAGAGTGGAAGTTAACGATCAGTAACTTTATCAAATGCTAGCACTGGAAGGTAGTCAGTTCATTCTTACTGACTTCAGGGTGAATTTAAAACAAAGAAGCCCTTCTCTGTGTATAATCACTTTACCTTTTGTGCAGTAATAGGGATTCACAGTTATTGCCAAACCTATTATTAGAAGTCAACATGGGAACCTGAGTTCTTAGTCAAATCACCCCTAAGGCAGGTGAGTTAAAAACAAAATAAGGTACAGTACGTGCACTAATGTTTCTGTGTGGGTGTGTTAAGGAATTCCTTCACGTAACATTAGGTAATATCAGACTCACAGAGTGTTGGAAGATGGCGTGTAAAGATGAGATGTAGAGGCCACTGATCAGATTAAGTCAGTGCTAAAAATGACCAGTCTCTAAATATATTTTGCATGAAAGAAATAAACTGCTAGCTCCCATCAGGTTAAGTCCAGGCCTAGCTTGAATAATTCATGGTAATATTACTATGATACTGCTCACACAGTGTGTTTGAAAGGGGGATGTGCAATTAGTATTACAGTTTTTCTGACTCATTTTGGCACAGTTCTCGAATCATCCTCGACATCCTTTGCGAAACAGTAAGTGCATTTCTGAAAACAATTTATACAAACAGGAAAATACCATGGATTACCTGCAAAAACCAATCTGTTTCTTACAATCCTTAGTTCGTCTCTGTCAATGAATATCTCTGTCAATGAACATAACAGTCCCATAGTAATGACAGTCCTTGTGTCATTTTGAGCAGATAAACCAAATTTATTGTCATCTTGTCAATATAAAGGTTACTTACACCTCCTGAAATTTCTGATTGTTGGGCCACCAATTCTTGTCCACATCAAAAACATATCTGGCATCTGTTGTGGTGTCATCACGTGCTGCATCCATGGCACCCAGAAGAGTAATGTGTGCAAATATATATTTTCCATATCCAGGCTGAGAAAAAAAATCTTCAGTGGGGTTATGAAATGAGACTAAAATAAACTCCATCATGATCTTGTTGTGGGTCACAAACCATATCCTGATGATGTTGGGAGTCATGGAAACTGACACATATCCACGGCCTTTTCTGCCTTCTCTGTTTTGCCTCCTAATGCCTCCTTCACAGCCTCACTTCTCTTCCTCTTCCCTTAGGCTATTGACTTCACACATACCTATGTTGGAGAAAGTCAGGATTCATCTGGGAGCAACTTACCAATTCAGGACAGATTGAGGAACAGAAGTCTAAAGGCTCCCACATACTCGGGTGTACTTCACTCCACAGAGGTGCACGCGTACTCCAAGCAGACTCAAAGTGGGCGTCTGCCAGACACGTCTGTGCAAAGGTAAATTTTTAGCAGAGAATTGTACACAATCACTTGCATGGATGTACAAAGGCATTTGCAACTTGTTCAAAGAAATGAGAAAGAGCTTGCTTGATGTGCACAAGTGACACAAGGATTTGAAGCTTGAATAAGTAGTTTTGAGAATTTCTATTCTGATCTGAGAAATGCACCGAAGTGAAACTGAGAAAAACTGTTATTTACTTTGTCCCAAATCTGCATCATGAGTAATCAGTGTCATCCAGGGTGTTAAAACATCAGTTATTTTATTCACAGTGTCACATACTTTGTCTACATATCTTCAAAGAAGATGCCGTTCTCATGACTGCACTCTTGGACATAACTAGCAATGTTATATAACCTTCCGATAATAATTACACTGTTCAGCCCCTATAATAGATGAAGTTATTTTAACAACTTGTTGGCCTGTGTGTTTGAATCTTGTTGGACGAGTTTTTGCTTCTGCATACCAATTCTCAGCCTGCCCACTGTGTCCAACATCATGAAAGCTTTGATACCAGCGCACTGCGTTGATTGCATATGTAGTCCTCAGAAGGTTGCTAAAAATCCACTGCAGCAGGAGGAGTTCATACCAATTGCTTATAAGAGTTGAAATGCAAATCAGCAGAGCTAAATAAGAGCAGTTAAGACGTCATTGGCATCATAACAAGTGTATGCTCAAAAGCAGTCTTTAAAGAAAGCATACTTTATATAGAATGTTTTGTAGATATAGCTCTCTGTGTGATTAAAATTTAGGACACTATTTTTGTTTTCCTGTTTTTGAGATATTTTCAGCTTTATTATCTTCTACAGAAGTGTTGAACGTAACGAGATGGAGAGAGTAACATGCATGGAAGTGCTACAGGTCAGAATGGAAGCATTGACTCGGTGTAATGAAAACTATTAGTGTCCTTCCATAGAGCCCTGGATCTACCTAACATATTGATTTTGCTCATATTTAAAATAATTTTCTAAAATTTTAAATGCGGATTGCACTGTGAGAAATTGGAAGGTAATAGATAAGTTAATTTATTTAAACACATAGGGATACATTCCAAGCTTTAGTTTATTATTTTTTCATTTTGTAACTAAAATCTGTTTACAGTCTATGGAGTATTGTCCAGTGCAAGATGAGAGACAACTGAGACAACAATGTAGAACAGCTGAAGGGTGATATTAAAGTAAATTGGGCTTCCCCAAAACATCAACAGTGCTACAGGCTGTTCATCTCCATGACAAACTGCGATGATACAATCATTAAAACAATTCAAGTATTAAGTGCATATAACGCAGTACATGGGCATATTTCTTAGAAGGCTCATATTTTTTTAATTTTCTGACAGCATTATAATAGCTGTATGCCATTTATAATGCAAATTCACAGAAATAAACATTTCTCAGTAGATGTAATGGCTCTATAAAAGAGATTTCCTTTTTAAATTAAATTACTGATCAAACCATAAAAATAAATTCAACAAATGACTAAATGAACTGTAGAGCTTCAGTTCCTGCTGAACTTCCAGGTTAATTTTAGTTCTATACAAACCGGTTTCCAACAGGTGGAATGTATGTTGTGGATTTACCATTGTTATTGAAGCTACGAGGAAAAAAAATTGTATTAACTTTGTCCCAATGAACTGGTTTGTCTTTGAGGTGTGGCTGAGAACTTTCATTTCACTTGTCCTACATTTAGTTTGGCTTTTTTGAGGCACCTGAAAGTTGGTAAACGTGGAAATGCTGGCAACATGTTTTCTCCTTGAACTGAATGATTGTATTCAGTGTGGATGCAGACTGCCTTTAGCTCCTTGTTGAAACATGCAGGTGTCCTGTTGCAGTTTCTGAAGACAGATGTTCCCAGGGACAATACAAAGCTTACAGGACTATGCTATAATTACTGGGGGCCTGATCATATGAAGAACGTAGCTCTCACATCTTATTCTGACTACACTCTCGTATACTTACTAAAAACTAACAAGTCACATAAAATTACATTACATTATGTGCAATCTGGTGGATTAAGAGAACTTTCACAAATATCTTGATTTTGGGAAACATTCTGTTGTCGTAGGTCATGTTAAGGTACGTATTCAGAAATTGTTGTGGCACTGTGGAAAATTTGTGCCAACATTTTCGAGAAGAAAAGAAGAGCAGTGGTGATCAGTTTTATACCAGCTACTGAAACATTACCAGAAATCTCTGAATTTGAACAGCTACTCAAAAAGCAGTAGAATTACTTGTTACTTTAAATAACTCAAACCTCAAATTTACTGTGGTAAGATACAATGTTGTATTGTACATAAATTCTGAAGGATTATGCTTAATTATTCTGGTAGATATATGAAAAAATAACCCAGTAATTCTAAAAATATTCTAAATTGCTTGTCTGAATCTTAAGTGTTTCTCTTCAGTTTAAGAATGTCATTACTGCATATTCCCAACATTTGAGCTCAAGTGGCTTTCACAATGTTTTCCAAAAAAATAATCTGGGAAGTACATGACATGTTTCTGTTAAACCTCCTGTACTCTGATGTACTTTAAATAAAATCCAGAACAATCAGTTGTGTTCAGTCATCACCTAATTAGTAAATCGAGTTTGGGCTACATGCACACCATGACATCTACAAATCACATTGACCACAGGCTGCTTGAACACACAAAAAATATGAAGATCTAGATTAAGTAATAACATATAAACTTTTAGTTACACAACTCCAATCTCTACAATCTTAGGATGTTTTTAAGTTCATGGCATAAAAACTGTATGGTTTTTACTCGAAAGAGGCATTATCATTCAATGCAATCTATTTATGAGAGACTTCACTGTCATGAACATGTTTCCTTTTTCATGTAACTTGGAGTTGTACTTAAGTTTCTGAATGCCACTTCAACAAGAAGACAAATACAGAAGCATTTGTTAGCTCTCGTAATACTAATAATATATTCAAAGCTCTAACACACACTCCTGCCAGACAAGTGGTGTGTTGCTATTAATATGTTGGGAAGCAGCAAACTCACTGTTCTGAAACACATGTGCATGCATAATTGCACCCAATAACGCTGGTGTTTGTCAACAGGTGATGCTAAAAATACATTGGTTTGCTCGCATGCACTGAAACTTGCACAAAGAGCCTCAGTGCTCCTTCAAAAGGAACAAATGGTGACTATTAATACACTTGCACCAGCACTGATGCACTAATGCATGTGAATGCACCATCAACTGTCACACAAACAGACCCTGGTTATGCAAACACAAAGGCCTGCTGTGTACTCTCAAAAGAAACAACTGCAAGCTATTAATATCTCGGGGTGCATAGGATGGACGCACACAGGAGGATGAACACATTTGGAGATTGATACTCCAGCTGCTCGGAAGCAGGGGGACAGAATGTGCCCAGCAGCTGTGGATTCCTATAAACGTAAGAGGGGTGGGTGCAGGGAGGAGGGGTGGGTACTCCCGCTAGAAGATGCCAAGCATGGTGAAGTAGCTGTCATGTTATGGACCTCAGGAGCTGGTCCAGTATTGAGGAGCTCAGTGCACGGCATACGCAACTGCAGGGGGTGAAATGCTTGAGCATATGGAGACTAAAAATTGTGAAGTACATATATACTTTAACTTAACTTGAAGTTTAGTCTAGTCAGAAAGCAAAGTCAGCATAATATTTAATTTGCAGCATAAATAGAATTACTGCTGACAGAATATCTGTGAATCTCTCGAGCTGCAGCGAAGCCATTCAACGAAAATAGCAGCTTCTGCTTGCCTAAATGAACCTAGAGGATGTTATGGTGCAGACTAACTTTAGAAACAGGAAGTCACTGTTTCTGTGTGAGTCTCTGTCTGTGCATGGGTGTGCATGCACGCCAGTAAAGTCTAAGCGTGTGTGTTTGTTATACGTGCGTGAATGTGTGTTTGTGTTAGTGTGCTGCTGCACCGGCCCACAAAAAGAGGATGATCGTGTGAAACGAATATGCTATTACAGAAACCAGAAGTTTGCCTCCTGCTATTTTTAGCACGACAACACTTTAAAGAGAGACAGAGAAGCAAACATACAGATCTTATCGACTTAAACTTCTTCTTATTCCCACCAGATTTTATCCTGTAATTGTATTTGTGAAGCACAGTTGGTAAATTAACACTACACCTAAATAATGTTCGCTACAAACATATTAATCACTGTAAAGCAGAGTTAAAAAGAAGTGTATATAATAGTTTTAATTGTTGTGAAGAACACTGGTAATATGATAGGAAGTAATCATGGGTGCCTCTAATCCCTCAGGGTGAATGCAGATGAAATCTTATCTCTCTAGTTGACTCTTTGAATGCAGAGTGCAGTGACCAAGCTGGTTTTGTGTCAAGTCAGATGTCATGAATCACGCTGAAACTCTGCCTTAAGATAGATCATTAGTGCATAAACTCCAAATGCAGGTGTTTGGAAAGCATTTTAGACCGAATCCCCACAGGATGACTTGATCTCACTCAGATGTATTCTTTTCTAAATTGCCTCTGACAGTTTTAAGCTGCACTTTTTGTTGCATGAGATGGATTTTCAGTTCCTTTTACAACTTTTACCAATCTCCACAACAGAAATATGTCCGTTTTCAATGCCTGCATGTCAGAAAGTCACAAACAGAATAGCATTAGTTTTAAAATGCAAATTGTTTCTTTGACTGTCTAAATGATTGCCTCGAGCTCTGGTATGTTAGCGATGTAGATTTAGAAAATGGTTCCAGAGATTTCCACAACCTTTCAAGTTTGTTTGCTCTGCTTTTGTCACCTTTCCCAGTTGATTGTGAACAATTTGCAGACCATTCATTTTTGCAAAAAAATCCCACAACTTTTATACAAAATGCCATAAAGTTAACATTGACTTTTGTCCTGGTGTTCAAGGTTTACACACATTTTCAACATTTATGGCAGAAAAAGGCCCCATGCAGTTTTTCTGTGTAAAAATATACCGCAGGTGTTCCTTTTCTGACTTCCTGATTATTTCCTTTCTCTCAGGGGAGTTGACTTGTTTGGTGCTCGTGTGTGTTTTTGTGTATGTGAAGTGTTTGCAGACTATCTGAGTCCCCTCCACCACCACTTGCCTGGTGATTGTTTAATTTCCTTTAAAAACACACAGACATTCTTTTGATAATACTCACTGTGCTGCTCTGACTGGTTCTTCAAGCTGTACCTTAATTTTTTTCTGTGTTGGAATGAAAAAGAGAACATATCAAGCTAAAAGGAAAAAGAAAAAGCATTGTTGCATACTGTCAAGTCTCACAGGCCAGCCTAAAGTTAACTGGTATTGTGTGGTTGTTGAAATGCAGAAAAAATTGCGCGTTGTTCACATTTTTTAAAGTGTGACTATCTCGCTTCTGTAAAGAGATGTGCCAGAAATTCTGCACTGTTTTTGCCGTTTGTCACACATACAAATCTATTCACAAACGTTCATCTTAAATTATACAACATGTGTTTTAGATTTTTAAATTAATCTGCCGTCATAAAGTCACAACCTGTTTTTGAGTTTCAGTCTCATGTTATACACGGTAAGTTAAGTGTGTGGGAGTGTTTTCTTTTTCAGGGGAACTCTATCTACGTCTAGTACATTTCTTTATTTTCTTTCCCACTCTGGTTTACTGTAAGAAATGAGAGTTGGTTGTTATTATAGTTGGATGACATCAGGTCGGATGTTATCGGAATAATTTTAGAAGTAACTGAAACATTTAGCTAAAAAATATAAGGCACTATCCCAGCTGCTGTGATGTTAGTGACTGTTGCCATGACAGAATAGTTGCTGTGTTACAGTAACAGTTTCCATAACTCCATCTTTTTCACTGTCACTGAACCCCCAGGGCAGCAAGATGTATCTTTCCATACATTCTGTATCTATACTTTTGCATCAGTACTGAAACATGGCTTTGCACATTTATTAGTTTCAGGTGTCGGTGTTAGATTACCTCTATATTTGCACATTGTTTGCAAGATTATGCCAGGTTCACTTTTTCTAGGTGTCTTTTTTAGCCCTCTGGTCAGCTCTTTCTTTTGTAAGTTATACCATGAGAGCAAGTTTGTTTCACAATGCTGCAGTTGGACTTCTTATACTTAAAAATAACCCCTGATATTTTTAGGTTTTTAAATTCAGTGAACTAAAACTTGTCTTGGCACGCAATTATGGAAAAAAAGTATGTGTTTTGTTCTATTTACTGGAGGTCTCTGTTTTGTTTTCTTCTGGTGAAATGAGTAAAACAAAGAGCAAAGATGCATATTTACCTTTGAAAAATTATTAGCAGTCTCAAGAGACATACATTCTCCTTGGGAGATCATTATTGATAATCTGACATTACCAATAGGGAAATATTTGTTAGTTTCAGCCCTAATCTAAAGGTAACTCTCACCCAGTGTCACAGCTCAACTGATCATCTGTCTTTATTTTTTCTGTTCCCTTGTACAGTGGATGTGATCCTCAGCAGTCAGAGTTGGCCATTCGAAGGGTCAAGCCCATGGATCTGACTGTAACTCACAGGTTGTTACATCCACGTCCAGATTCGGCCATGCTGGCTCCACAGCCTTCATTCTATCTGGAACATCTCACTGCTCAACATTGCTCTCAGTTTTCCCAGCACCACTTGCAGGTGATGTGATACAGATAAAGATGTGTTCAAATAAACGTCCCAGCATTTATAGGCATGGATGAGACGAGTGATCAGATGCAGTAAGAAGGAATCAGTTATTTTAGTTAGTTCAGATATACTGTACAAAATCAACAAACTGAGGTTGTTCTTTATGTATTGTCACATTCCACAGTATCAACATTTTATTTGTACAAAACATGCCAGTTTAATGTAGAAAGACCTCCTACCACATTAACCACAGGAGGAAAGCAGCTGCTTTCTCCACAAGCTGTACACAAGCATAAAACTCAGCAGACATAAGTAGCAACCAGGTCAGAATGTTAGCAGATCATTTCCTCCTCATTTACCACTGAGCTGTAAACAATATTTACATTTTGTTCCAGTAATGGTGTACAAAAATGTTTTTTAACCAATATTGGCAGCAGCTAAGTGTGACTCCCTTTAAATTCATCTCATGTGTACAGTGCAAAGAAGACTGGACTGGGTCTAATGTTTAATGTCTCATTTTTCTTCACAGTATAACACTGAACAAAGACACAGAAAGATGGAGGAGAAAAGAGAAGACCCACAGCAGCTGTTGCCAAAGAATAAAAACGAACAGAGTGAGTTGAATGTGTTGTTTTCAGACATTTTTCTGAGAGGTTGTCAGAGTACAGAGAGGCTGCCTGTCTGAGTCATCGCAGTGTAACAGTTTTCAGTGTAAATGAAGGGGATTTCCTTTACTGCCATGTATTATTGTATTCCAAGGAAATTCTCAAAATAACAGAGTCCAACAAAGAAAGTAACAGGAGTGTCCAATATTTTGTTTTGGGAAACCCTGTACTGCTATTTAATATTAGCTTGTACTTAAATTTGCTTGAAAGGAAACTATTTATTATGTTACAATAAAAATAACTACCCTGTGCACTTCATTGTCCTATTTTAATGTGTGGCAGGTGCTGTAGCTAGCAAACATGTAAAGCAGATTCTGCGTGATCATATAATCATGAAGAATCAGCCTCCTCATGATAGGGTTCCTGGCAGCCACTGCAGTACCTCTCCGGGATACAGGTGAGACTGGCACTGATGTCTGTTTAAATCATTGTTGTTTAAAGTTCTATTTTACAAGAAGGTTAAAATGTTTTTTTTTGTCAAGATGGAATCAATTGTGCTTCTTACTGAATCTGATCTTTTTCGTAATGATGCATCCACAAACTTAATTGTAGAAAGTTGCCTTCTAATTACCCCTGAGTCCCCATACTCAGGGGTAATTAGAGCCCCTGAGTATGGACACCAGGTGGGTTGGGGGTGTTGTGAAAAGGATATATTATAAAACAATACTCCTTACTTTCAACATCTCATTGAGAACTGTTAGGTAAAAATATAATGACTTCCACAAACCTGATCTTTATGGGAGAGTGGCAAAAGTAAAACATCATGGAGAGAAACCCTGAAGCCATTGAGGCTGACCTCAGAATATTTGGAAGAAAATACTCTGGTCAGGTGAGACTGAAACAGAACATTCTGGCCTCCTTGCAAAACGCTATGTACGACAAAAATGAATGATCCTAAACATGAAATCACGATGGGGTCTTATGGTGGTGGCAACATAGTGGTGTGGTGATATTTTTTTTAAAATGGGGATAGTAAAGTTGATCAGAGTTTATGGGGCTAGAAATATGCAGGGAAACTCTGAAACTCTTAGAGGTACGCAAAAGACTTGAGACTGTAAGACTTTCTGCTGGACAGTGACACTAAACATACAACTGCACGAAAAATCAAAGCCTATTCATTTGTTGGAATTACCCAGACCTAAACTTGTGGCTGAGAATGAGTGACAAAACTTAAGAACTGATGTTCACAACTCTCCCCATATTTTTTACTATTATTATTAAGCCAGTGCATCTGATGTTGTTTTGGTTACCTAGGCCACCCGTGCCTGACATGTCCCTCAAGCCTCAACCTACACCTAGTGACCAGCGAAAGGACCTCGCCCTGCGAAGAACAGGTGAGACTCCTGTTTGTGTTTGTGACCAGGGTTGCCACCCTCAGGTCAAATTTATTTATTTTTTTAAGATGCTGGTGATTTTCCATTTCATTTACTTTCTGATGTGACAATTACAGTGAAATCTGAGTTATACCTCCAAGTAAAAATTACTGTACTCCGTAGCTTAACATGATACTGTAAACTACTCTCTAAAAGTATTTTATCATGTTTTGGGCATAAGAAGGATAGAAAATCTAAGAGATTCGACACATCTTGATGTGGTCTTTGGGTTAGAATGAATTGAGCTCTAAGCATCAGATCTGCAGGGTCAGAGCTGCAGGACAGCCATATAATCAGTGCAGCAACAATGAGGCAAAGAGAAGTTATATAACCTTATATAACCGTATGTGTAAAATGAACTGCATGAGAATCCTGAGTATTTCTTCCTCACTGCATGAATTGGAGTGGGAGTGGTTCCTTTTTTTTTTTGGTACATTTCTGCGAGTACACCATCCATTACTTTGCCCTCAAACCTTTAACACAGACACACATCTACACACACACAAGGGTGCTTTAGTTGGCATGGCGACAACACAAACAGCTTTTATCTGAACTAAGCCTGCTAGTGATTGATTACTTTGTTTAGGTTTATTGGAGAATGCCCAATGTAAACGCGGATGATTTTAAGTATTCATTAGCACTGAAGTATTTGCACAGTTCACTTTAACTCGATTCTGTCGCTGTTATTTTACATGTGTGTATGTATTTGAGCAGTATCCGAGCCCACACTGAAGTGGAAGTTGAAGAAACTCATCTCGACAAGGCCTAACCCGCTGCAACGGAAGATCAGTGCCCCTCCTGATGTCAAACATAGGACAGAAAATATGGGTATGAACATTAATGCTCAGTCTTCTGCTTGCTTTTATTATGGCATCGTTTTAAGGTTATTGTATCTTTATGTTCATCTGCAGAGGCACACACTTGGCACCCTTGCCAAAAATCCTTAAAATAAATGTATTACATCAGCAAAATATCACACAATTTTTTCTTTCAAAAATCCAAACTTTATTTGAATTATATTTTTAAGTGGAAAAGAAAACTCCAGTATTAGGATTTTTTTTTTCTTTTACAAAATGACAGGTGGCACAGTTCAATTCAATTCAGTCCAATCATACTTTTATTTTTCTTTATTTATTTTGAACATGATTGAAGTATAAAATCACACACATGAACAAGGAATGCAGACATATATACATCCTAGTTTTCAAACAATACAGTCAAGTTCAGTCAAATTGATTAAAAAATGTTCTGCCTAAAGAAACCCATCAAATTTTATCAAGTCAGGCATCTGTTACTAAAATTTTAGTTTACAAAAATGTAACTGAAGCATATTTCAATTTTGTCTTTATTAATATTTTAAATTAAACAGAGATTTTACAGTTTCTAATTATTAATCTAGGACTTCCTGTTTAGTGCAGAGGAAATTAAATGTTGGCTTTTTAGTATTTCTTTAGTATAGAGTTCTGTTTCTGCACTGTAAAAATGAATATTTCGCAAAAGAATCTTGTATTTTTAGGAGAAAAACGATTGCTTTAATTTGTATTTTGTTTCATTACATGTTTATGTTTTAATGTGCTTTTGGTTTTTCCCTCCATCCTGTCATTCAGACTCTTCCCCAAGCAGAAGCAGCACTTCAGCATCAGGCTGCAGCTCACCAAACGACACCCTCATGTCAGACAACGGGTCTCTTTCACGGGCTCCTGAGGTGAGACCCTTTCTCAGCATGTCAGTCACAGTCACGTCTTTTGCTTAAAAGTGTGACATAGTTAAGGGTTTCCATATGCATTTCTTGCTTGCGTCTTTAATGGAATGCTAGTAAATTTCAGCTGCCCAAGCTTTCAACACAAATACATTCTCAACCAGTGAGAAACAGTCTAAATGAAATATGTGTACAGTTTAGGGACTATTTCTTCATAGTGTAGTCTTGGTTTTTTCAGTGATGCTAAGAATGTTTGTTTCACAACAGTTTGAATGTGACGAGTTTTGGGAAATTGTGCACGTTCTGGAATGTGCCACAATAATTTAGGCTTGTGCTTTTCCAGTCAAAGAGGGTGCTGATGAACAGTGGTAATGTAGCCCACTTCGCTCTGCCTGCCAACCACACTGCAATGCACAACATCACTGCTGGACTTCCTGCTCAGGTGAGCAAGAAATTTGAATTGAGTTTCAGTCAGAATTTTGTCGTTTTTCTATTTCCCTCTCATGACGAAACCACCGATAATTTCTTGATTTGTACGTCAGTGTAAAAGTTACAGTCCACAACTGAACAAAATTACTTACTTTGTGATGTGCAATAGCCACAACAACACAAAAAAAAGTGTAAGTGGTTGTTTTGTTGTTAAAAAAATCTTTTACTTTGATGCCTCTGAATTAAACAAAGTACAACCAGTTCCTTTCCAAAATTACCAAATTGCTAAGTAGTATTTGATTCAGACTTCAAAATGAGTCAATAAAACGCATGTGGAGGAAGCTCCAGTGGACTGAAGAGGGCTAGTATCCACCAGCTGTTAAATGCAGCTTTAATTGTTTTTGTAAGGGAAATTTGGTAGAATGGATTTGAATCTTTAGATGTGAAACTCTTTTGTAAAAAAAAAAAAAGTTAATAGCCAGGTAATTTCTGTCATGTAAAATTACAACAAGCATGCAACTATGAAGCATTTTGTTGTGCTTCATAGTTGAACCACAACAAAATGGAGAATTGATGCTTTTGTGTGTTGTTTGCTGTAATGCTGTAAAGATAAAAATATTATTAAGTTCCTTTTATTAGTTTCTCTAAGGTTAATATATGTACACCACATGACTTCCACTTCCGTTCTGACCTTTTTGGTGACAGTATAAATGCATACATCAAGTAGTCAACAAGGCAGTTAAACTCTTAGCTTTTCCTCGAATCACCCAGTTTGTTAATTTTTAAGCCACACCCATAATGAATCTGTTTCTACTTCTGTAGCATCTCTAAATTTGTCATTCTCTTTCTCTGCAGGCTGACTTGCGTGTGACAAAGCCAGTGGCAGCATTGACTTTGCAGTCTGTCTACGTCTCCCCTATGTCTCAACGCTTGCAGCCAGTGTTCATATTTGAACCACACATGGGGCTAATGCACCAGCAGCTTGTTCCTCGTGAGTGGCATTGTCTGCGAAGCTTATCTGCATGTATGGCACATACGTCATATGTGGCTCTGATAACTGTCAGTCACATATGCACGTTTGACTTAAATTATGCTGTTAGTGCTCAGAGTTGATGCTTTGACCTCATCTTACATGCTTAGTATGTACAAGTTGTAGTTTTATTTCCGGAGGAGGTGGATTTCATCAGACGTTTTTATGAATTGACGAAAACAAAAAATTCCAATATATATTTATCTAATTTGTGTTTACAGCTTTTATTGCAAGTTGACAATATGACTTTTAGTAATAAATGTCCCGCTTATTTGCAAACAAATAAAATGATCTACAGTGAAAAAATATCTTTTATTTTAAATCAGAGACTGTTGTATCACATATGTGTCATCCTGCATGTCTTGATACAAGAGCACCCTCTACTGGGCAGATTACAGTGATGCAGTGTTACTTACAACAAAAAAAATGTCATTAATCCCGAACCAAACTGTCAAGTTTTGTTAGTTTCCCTTACAGTCTGTCAACATGCTTCAGTTTTCTTCTTCTTTTTTTCTGTCAAGTATTCATTATTACTATTGCTCTTATTGTCGTCTGTTGTCTTTTTCAATTCCTTCCTGCAACCTGTCCTTCACCTTATTCCTTGTTGTCACTGTTTTTTTTTTGTTTTTTTTTTTAATTTCTTGTTTTCAGTTCATAGTTTGAGTACCATTCCTCAGCAACAGCATCCTCACATATCCTCCTCGTCCAGAAGAGAAGGCTTAGTTGCCTTGGGCTCACATCGACCTGTGGAGCGAGCGCATTCAGAGCCTCTGCCTTACAGCCACTCAGTCCTGCCCCTGCATGCCGGCCATCACCCACACACCCACCAACAGCTCTCCCAGTTGTACCACAAGGCTGGATTGGAAAGGTTTAAGCTGAGCACACAGCTGAGCAAGGTAAGAGGAGGCAGGTGTAAACATTAGCATGCCAAACAGAAAACAATTACTCACGATTAACAGAGTGACTAAAAAAAGAGGATTCATCCTGTCAGAAAATTTAAAAGAGTTGAAGGGTGTAAAGCCTGTGCAATTTTACTGAGAATGTCATCTGACACAGATCCCGTCTGAGGACATGGACGTGGATGAGAGCGGATCAGCAACAGGTTCTGGAACAGGGTCTTTGTGTGGCTCTGAATTGGGCTCGCTGTCCGAAGACGGCCACCGCAGGAGAGAAAGCAATGCCAGCACCGACTCAGTTTATGACACGGAGTCCATCACTTCCTCTCGGGAGAGCTTGATTGAGACATCACACCCTCTCAGTCAGGTACTAATGTCTGTTCATACGCAAACAAAATAGTACAGAAAAAAATCTCATGAACTTTTCTTCCAAACTAACTGGTTAAAGCTTCTAAAGATTGTGGAAAGTTATTTAGAATTCTACGTTATTCTAAATTATTCACTTCAGAAATGTATTATATATAGAAAACACTGACTGATGTCCAACACTATAAAAGCAATGTGCCTTTTAAATTTTTACCTGAATGAACTTGCCTTACCATTAGGGGGCACTGTTGCTTTATATATTCCAGCAGCAAGGTATTTTTGCTCATCAAGTTCTTGTTCAACACAAGTAGAATTAAATTGTCCACATTATGTGTAATTTTACCAGCTGGAGGCAATGGAGGACCACACTTTACTCAAAGTACTTTTACCTCCCTCTGACTTATAATAAATGTTAATTACTTCCTTGTCTTCCCTTTTAAACTCATTTGTGCAAAACACAGAGGCAGGTAATCCTCAGATCAACTTTACAGCCAGATGCGCTGGGAGTTCCTACCTTAATTTGGCCTCATCAGTCTCATCAGCCTGTGATTCGGAGCCGCTCTCTACCACCTTCCACCTCCCTGGCGCCTACTTCACATGTACCCACCATAGTACCCTCTATGTCACTGTCCAGCCCTGCCAAAGATGCCAAACTGAGTTTTACAACTGGTGAGTCAAACACTGACTTAAGTAGCGGAGGATTTCATTGACTGTATATTTTGAAGGATGGTGATGTGACTTCAGAGCAAAAAATATTGGGTTATAAGTCACGTTTTCATGTGTGTGTGTATGCAGGTTTGGTTTATGATACCCAGATGCAGAAGCACCAGTGCATCTGTGGAGACAACAGCCGCCATGCTGAGCATGCTGGGAGAATCCAGAGCATCTGGTCTAGACTGCAAGAGAGAGGGCTTAAGAGCCAATGTGAGGTAGGGACTTTGCACACAGATATACTATGAGAGAAAGAATTTGCTGTCAAACATGCTAGAAGTTCACAACAAAAACCTTATTTCTGTGTTGAAGTGCATCCTCAGTAGAAAAGCCACCCGTGCAGAGCTGCTTTCCGTCCATTCAGAAAACCACGTGTTAATGGACAATCAGAGGCGCACTGGTAAGATCAATAATAATACTGGAGATTACATTCACAACATATCTATGACACTTCTTCACTATACTATCCAAAAGTATTCATACCTCTTGAATGTTTTTTCATATTTTTTTTCCATTGCAACCACAAATTTCAATGTGGGAATTTTATTGTTTATATGTTGCTAAGCTTAACTGTATGAAATAAAGATTAGACTTGAGTTTAACAATCATTCCAATTTCATCTTATGCTGGATCTAAACCATTCTCTTGTAAATCCGGCTCCATAATTGGCGCTGTTGTCCCAGAAGATGAATTTCCATCCCAGTCTCAAGTTTTCTTTGAGGTTTTCCCTGTTCATAGCTCCATTTCTTCTCCTCATCAACTCTGATGGACTTCCATGTCCTTGCTAAAGTATGAGGCTTCCACCACCATGTTTCATGGTTCATAGTGAAGGTGGTGTGTTCAGGGTAATGTGCAGTATTAGCTTCCTGCCCTTACACTCCGTTTCACCTGTAGGCCGTAAAGTGTAGTTTTGGTTCTGTCTAACTACAACACCTTCAAACATGTTCGCTGTGTTCCCTACATTGCTTCTGGAAAACTATAAACTGAACATGTATGTCTTTCTTTCATCAGTGGCTTTCTACTTGCCACTTTTTCATAAAGACCAGACTTGTTGAGTCTGCGTATGAACAGATTCTTCCACCTGAGTTGCGGATCTATGCTAATCCTCAGGAGTTAACACGGGCCTCTTGGCTTCTTCTCTGTTTAATGTTTTGCTTGTCTGACTGGTCAACTTAAGTGGGTGGCTGTTCCTTTGTAGGTTTGCAGTTGGGCAAAGTTTCCCCAGATGAAGAACTGAAGAGTGCTCTGTCAAACATTCAATCACCTTTAAACTTCTCCATAGTTTTATACCTGGAGAAGTACAAAACTTAGTTTTTGTGATCCTGTTTGTTCACTACTGTTCTCAAACAAACCTTTCCTCTGTCCAATAAAATCTCAAATGAAGTAATTAAAGTTGATGGCATGTTTGTGCACATTCTGTACATATGTAAATGTGATATATTTATAACTCTTAAATACTACAAATATTTCCATGCAGGATCACGTACTTTTGTGGACCTACCATGTGGAGGTGTGGGGGTGAGTCCTGCACAGGCACATGCACACACGCGCACATCAACACACAATTACACACAATACAGATCTGTTTTAAAACTCTAGTCATGTGGGAATATTTCCACTCATCTAATTGCATTACTGAACAGCAAACATTACATGGCTTATTATGCCTTATTACACAATTTAGATAATGATACTACCAATTGCTCATGCTATTGTTTTTGGCTGAGATAACTTTGAAACCTCAAAAAAATCAAAGTCTGTACTATAGTCAAAGGGGGAAGAAACAACAAGGGAAAGCATACAAGTAAAGTGCTGAAAATGTATATATATATTTTCCTATTTTCCTATGGAACCCTAAAAAGGGATGTAGGATAAATAAAATGATATTATGTTTATAGTAAAGAAAGAAAACCCTGAAGGGGGATGGGTGGCAGCTGATAAGAGCACCGATATGCCTGGATTTCCGGCCTTTAGCTGCTAGAGTGAAGAGGGGTGATTGAAACAAGATGGTAAACCTCGTGAAAAAAGAAATTCCTGTAATTTCAGCGTTCCCCTAACAGCACAGCAGACCGCCAGCAGAGATAACTTTTTGAAGAGTCGGGTCACATACATACACATACACACTTTTGTCGTTAAACAATGAAATACTTTGTCTGAGATGTTTTCAAAAGTAAATAGACTTTGCCATTGTAATGACAAACTATTTGATTCTCTCCAACGGTCTTCATGCTCTGATCAGCTAATCCTGTAATAACATGTAACAGGAACACTGTAACATTTTTATGAATAAAATCTAATTGTGATTCGCTTTCCATTGTTTTATAAACAGGTGGACATTGATACAGTTTGGAATGAGCAACACACAGCAGCTGCTTCCCAAGTAGCAACAGGATGCGTCATAGACCTGGCCCTTAAAGTGGCACAGAGAGAGCTGAAGGTGAGATGGATGGATGGATATGTGGATGTTTTGGGCTACATTTTTCATACTTAACTATTACGTAGCAGTGAAACTAGTTATGTACTGACAGAGACTGACAGGTCACTCAGTGATGATGAAGCCATAACTCCAAATTCAATACATACAACTGATTAAATTTTGCCAAAATTCCAGTCAACTTTAGAAAAAAAGTAAACTGCTTAGGTGTGAAATCTATCAACTACTTGGGGAATGTATGTAGCTGGAATTAAAAACAATATTTTTAATTACAATTAGCAAAAAAAGGATTTTCATAATTCAAACTGACCTCAACTAGAGTAGCTCAATATGATTACATTAAAACAAAAAACAAAATAAGAGTTCTTGTTTATACTGCTTGAATTAAGTATGTTATAGACAGTGTTTACTGTGCAGTGTAATGGACAGCTGTTTCACAGTAAATGAAGGTGTTGGCAGCTCCTCTTTTGTTATCCTTTATTTATATCTAAAACAATTTCATGTTAATGTTTTAACACCTTTATGTTTCAGAATAAGTTGTTATAACAGTGAGGTGTTAAGACTGTTTTCTGTTTTCTTACAGAATGGATTTGCAGTGGTGAGACCTCCTGGACACCATGCTACTCGTTCTTCTCCTCTGTAAGTACAGAAGCATGCACACACATACTCACAAATGCATACCGGGAGCTAAGGGGGCTGCAAAGTTTGTTTGTTTTTTCGGATAAATCAGCTATAGTATACTTGTGAAGAAGAAAAAGAGAGAGAGGGTGCCATAGTGTGTCTATGTTAAGGTATGAGTGGTGTGCACTATCTGCCCAGTGCCAGAGGCAATCTACCTCCTCTACTGTTTCTTTACAGCTTTCGAGACACAAAGCAAAGCACCTCAAAAGAGACGTGCAGGAGCTGTGTATCCACACACCCTGCAGATGTGCTGTGTGTGGATACGTGTGGATGTGCATATCTGTGTGCATTGATTTGTGTCACCCTTTGATAGCAGGCATTAGCCAAATAACCACATTCAGCTGGGGCTGTGTGTGAGCTCAGCAGTGCTTGTCACTGGTTATTTATGGCGTGATAATGATTTTTCTTGATGAGCTAAGTTTGGACAGCTTATGATGTACATTGTTCACGCACGCACACACACACACACACACACACACACACGCTCGTAGGCAATCACACTTTACACCCCAATGCTGACACTGCCTTTTCCAAAATTCCTCTATTGTTTTTCATGCATCAACATTTTCTTTGCATACTTCTGTAGTAGACAGCCAGCGTTAGTGAGTTCTGTGAGTTCATTTCTCAGAAATCATCCCTCGCGTCCCGTCAGCTTTCTGGCAGAATTACCATTTCAAATGTGTCTTAAATTTTATGATAAGCTTCGGTTTGTCATGAAATGCGTGGCTTCTGCACTGCTCAGGAGTGAGACACTTTAGAGTCAGCATAACATTCTATTAATGGAAGCCATTTTTGTTTTGTCCGCTGAGAAAATGCGAACACTGAAGAACCTAAAACACAATAATATTCCTAAATGACTTGCAATAGACGTTAACGTGGCAGGAGTCAGCACTGGGGCTGTCATGGCTTGAGAAGGCACCACACACAGCCAAAGAACTGTCTTACAGGTTCCTACGGGCCACATGTGGATTTTGTGAAATTAATTTGCAAAAGATGCACAGTGATAAACACATGTGGCTGCCACTCTTCCTGTTTGTTTGTCCACAGGGGCTTCTGTTACTTCAACTCTGTGGCCATCGCAGCCAAGCAGCTCCAACACAAACTCAGTGTCAGCAAGATCCTCATAGTAGACTGGGTAAGGACCAGAACATCGATCAGCGTCACCCTTCTCTTCATGGAGACATTACAAACATACAGAGTGAAAGTAGATGTTTTCTAGGTGCAAAAAACAAAGACCCAGACTTACAGTAGCAATCCCAATCACAATTTAGATAACAGTTATTTCTGTTATCCACGTGTGAGTCTAACTGTCACATGTGCTTAGAGTAAATTCAAAATCACACACAGGCACATAAAAGTTCACCAAGGCATACATATGCTGATCCAGAGCCAGCCGCTGTCTCTGCTGAACATGTGTGTATTTGAGTCTGCACAATATCTTTACAAAGGACACACAATATAGTATATTATTTTATGAAACTACAGTTATTATTATATCAAACAAAAAAGAGTAAGTACTTTTGCCACTGATGTGAAAAATTATGCAAGTCTTACAAACTGTGTTCACTTTGTATCAGTTTATGTAAGATTTTTTTGATGTATTTGTGGTTACCCTTACTGTGCAAATTATACAATGTATATATATATATATATATATATATATATATATATATATATATATATATATATATATATATATATATATATATATATACTCTTATGTACTCAAATCTTGTCCAGGATGTGCACCATGGCAACGGCACCCAAGAGGCCTTCTATGATGACCCAAGCGTTCTGTATATCTCTCTGCATCGCTACGATGATGGGAACTTCTTTCCTGGTAGTGGACATCCAAATGAGGTACTTACACAGTATCTCTGTATGGTTTTATTTACATTGTGCTAATAGAACTCCACAAAAATAAAACTCTTTATTTTGTAGATTATTTATGACCTTGATTCGGCAGATATTATCAAAAGTAATAATACCTTTTGAACTTGTTCCTATTTTGTAATGCTGCCACAAAACCCTTTTATCTATTGTATGAAAAATGTATCTAGTGGACTCAAACAAAATATTAGCATAACTGTGAAAGAAAAGGAGAAGTGCTTTTCAAAAAGTGATGAAAGTAAAAATCTGAAAAGTTTGACATACATTTGTTTTCAGCCTGCCAGCACCTCACAACTCTTGAACCAATACTTTGTACAACCACCTTTCATTGCCACTTCAGTGGGGTATGTCTGCCAGTTTTACACATCTACACCCTGATTTTTTTAATTATAAAAACAAACCACTCAGTTACATTAGACAAGGACTGTCTCTAAACATATTTTTAGCAGGTTTCTTTTCATGTTTTTTTCTTTTTTTGTCTTTAGCTTAATTTATCCTCACATTCACATCTGACCAGCTTCACTGTCTCTGTTAAAGAAACGCATATCCATAGCATGAGTCTGCGAACAGCAGACCCGGACTAAACAAAGCTTATTTATGAAGAGTTTTCATGGCTCTGTTTCTTCACAGATGTATTCCAGAATGACCTTCACAGCACAGCTGTATTAGTACTGAGATTAAATTAAACACAGGTGTACTCTATTTACCACATAGGCACCTACTAAAAACACTGGATTTTTGGGCAAATAACAGAGCAAAAGAGCTGAACAAATTCACACTTATTTTTCATGTTTTTATATACAGGCTGGTTTATGATTGTGATGGAACAAAATGTGGAACGATTCAAGGGGTATGAATGCTTTAACTCAGAAGTGTTTCTAGTATCTGTTTGAGTTCAGTGAACCAGTAAGGACCCCAAGAGCTCGGAGTGTGCCTGTGAAGACAAATAAAATTATGTACTATATCAGGGAATAATTTACATAACACAAAACCAAAGTTAAAAATTAACTTATGAGATAATGGAGGCCTTTAATTAGTTAACTCCCTGACAAAACATTTCAAGCTTTGACAGATGAATCATTTGTCAGTTTTAGACTAAATTTGTTTATTTCTAAATCCACCATTTTATCCTTGAGCAAGTATCTGTAACTTCAGATTGTTACTGTCCAATTATGTTTTCTCTCATAACCCCTCAGTACGAATGCTTTATAAAGCAAGTTTAAAATATGGTCTTCACTCATCCTTGTGTGAGCAATATATCTGGGACACTTTTCAAACGTGTTTATCCAGTGAAAGCACCATGGAGACATCTTACTGTATGTTTTAGTAACCACTGTGTATATGTTTACTTTCATACTTCTGGGTGAGAAACTTTGAGGCCTTGGAGGTCAGGCCCTCTCAGCAGGATGTATGAAGCTGAGTTCTGTGCCTGTCTGAATCCAAGAAATTGAGATGCCTATGTTTCCTTCCTGTGGTCTTACCCAAAACCAAGTGTAATGACTACCCCGGTCAGTTGAATTGACCCCATCCCATGCTGACATTTGCCACTCATTCAATCCCCCGCATTCCCTCCTCTCACGCTGCCGCCCTCCCCCACGATAATACTCGGTGCTCTCCCATAAAATCTCACGAGGAGCACACATAAAAACACTTTTCTGGGCTTGGATGTGGCTTTGCCTGAAGTGGACTCGCAACCTCTGAGGAGCAGTGTGGTAAACCTCTGGAGTCTCTCTGTCCCCTGTGTAGGTATATATCTCTCCATGGGGTAAGGGTTGTGATGTCATCATCATAACACAGAGCGCGGAGTAGCTCACAAATACCAGTGACGGTCTAATTCAGTCCAGTAAGTCCTGAAACATGAAAGCGAGACAGAAAACAAAGAACAGCGCAATGCACTCGGAGCTATAGCAGAAATGGTATGTTTGGTTAATGTGCGTGTGCTTGTGTATCTGACTGTGTGCACAGGCGCATGCTTGCTGGTACATTAACAGTTGGCAGAAGACAGGAGGCCTCATGTGTTTTTCGTTTGCCCTGCGAACATCCCGTCCACTGAGAAGAATGGAGACAGACTTTCTGTGATGCTCATCAGCATTCTTTCTCTTTCAAGCATCCTCTCACACCCATGCACTCACACTCGCGCGCTCTCTCTCTCTCTTTCTCTCTCACACACACAAAGGAAATTACCATACATTGTTGCCAAGTGGCTGTCAATCAACCTCCACCATTTCTTCCCAAACTGACACATTGACTGATGGTGAAGGGTTTGGGGAACAGCTAAATGGCTTCTTGCAGGACTACAAAGAGCGAGAGACGGGAATCCTCAACTTCTTTCCAAGATCCAGGCCTCTGTTCACTTTCTGCCCCGAGTAAATGAGGTCAACCTGAGGGAAGCTTCATCAACTCTGCCTGGCATCCGTCTCATTCAAAACATGAAGAAGGAGTTGTGGAGAACAGAACTCATAATTGACAGTCGTTATACTTTACGTATATGATCATAGTTTATAGTATATTCTTAATACACTGGGGGGGGTTTTGTAGACCAGTCAGTATTCAGCCCATTTAAGTTGTACATTAAAGCTCGGGAACTATAAATGGCTGTAGCTCTGCTCTGGCTCAGCGATTTACAAAGGCCAGTTGACAAACTGTATAGAAATCAAAATGGAGGGACAGGGGTGTTGAATTAACAGCCATCCGTATTTCATTTGGGAATCATAATCACTCCCTGATGTTGCCTTAAGAGATGCAGCGACATTCCCTCTGTTGCTGCAACACAAAGTTTTGCAACAGCAATGCTAACTTTGCGAGCATTTGGTGCAAATCTGTCATCATCGTGGAGTTTCTCAACTTCCCCTCAGAGTTATTTACTTTTCTTTTTTTTTTTTTGACATTCTCAGTGATTGTTTCTTTCTCACAGTCCCCCTGTTTTTCCTGGTCTGCTTTTATCCAGGTGGGTGTACGAGCAGGTAAAGGCTTCAATGTCAATGTGGGATGGACTGGTGGTCTGGACCCTCCAATGGGTGATGCAGAGTACCTGGCTGCATTCAGGTAAATAAAGTTTTCTCTGTTAGCTGTAGAGTACTTTGTCTCATTTCTGGTCCATTTACATAAAGGTGTACACCTCAAAACCTTCTCTCAGTTCAGCATTTCACAACTGAACCCACTGATAATTACATACAAATGCAAAATATTCTTTTACAACCAGGAGGTAGTTCAGGATAATCATTCTGGGTTTTTTTTTTGTTTGGTTTTTTTATATATATTTGTTAGCTTATTATGACATCTATTATATCAAACTCAATCTGTTTTAAATCAACATTGAGGCTTTTGTTAATTTGTCTGAAGAAGTTGTTCATCTGTTATTCTTTTATAGACATTGATCAACTCATGATGACTTCTAATGTCACTGAAATTTACAGCTATGTTTTTTCCACATCCATCTTATCTAACTGAGCTTTTGTAGAGTTAAATCAGACCTAGTGTTGTTTGAATAAGGATGACTCAGACAGGAATGCATTGATTAAGATATTAAATATACTGTGATTTTAGTCAAAATTAAAAAGTTGAATGGGTACAGTAAGTACACATTTCTTTGCTATTTCCTTCTCACATGTTGAACTTTTTTCTTCATTGAACTGTTTATTCATATTTAAGTTGTAAAGCAAGTCCTGTTTGATTACTGAATGGTGCTAATACAGAAAATGAGGCTTTGCTAGAGCAGGAGTATGGATAGAAGTTATTTTACTTTTATATTTTTTTTCTAATACGTGGTATATGTATGACTGCATTGTCGTTAACACTAAATATCTTAAGCAAATGACATTACTGACCCTCTGCTACTGTGTACAACCAGAATATTGAAATTCTGACGTTTTGTTTCTGCAGTTTTAAAGCCCAAAAGAATACTTAGTTGCTAAATAGTTACTCAAAAAGTGTTGTGCATGTCTATTTAGTAGTCCCTTTAATCTGAATAAACAATAAAATCCAATGAGAGCAATTGCCTTTAAAGTTTCACCTAACAGTCCATATGTGTGTGTAAAACTATAAACGTTCTCTGAAGACCTCAAAAGTTTGTTGGAGAATATTAATGAACAAGCTGCTTCATAAAGACTAAAGCATCAGGAGAAAGTTATAGAGGATTGAAGCACTATTGGATTACAAAACAATGAGCTCTACAGAGCAATCACCTCATAGAGCACTGTGTAATTTATCATCTAAAATTGTAAAAAAAAGTGTGGCACAACTGCAAACCTATCAAAACAGCCATCCTGTAAGCCATATACAGCAAACATGTGGAAGAAGGTGATCTGGTCATATGAGACTACAATTGAAGCATACAATTGAGTGGATGCCTCTTTTCAGTAGAAACAAAGAAGATTGTCACAGTTTATGAGCAGATGGATGGAGCTAATTACAGGACAATCCTGAAACAAAACCATTTTAATATGCTACAAAAGACTGGAAACTGGGGTGGAGGCTCTCTCTCCAACAGGACAATAACCCTAAGTATAGCTAGAGCTATGTTTAGCTCTGGCTAATTCACAAATTAAAAAAAAAAGCAAAACAAAACAGTAAAAGTCCAGAACTAAATCCAATTAAAATTATTCAGCAAAGGTTAAAATCAATGTTTAGAACTGCTCTCACTTCAATCAGAGTTGGGAGATTTTGCAAAAGAAGCAATGAGAGTTTCTCTTCTCCAGAAGGCTGAGCATAAATGCTCTGTTCAATTTTTTTTATATTTTTCTGTATTAAAAAAATTAACTACGCTTCCTTTCCCTTCCACTTCACAATTTTGTGCAACTTTCTGCATAAAATCCTTGCAAAATATATTGAGGTGTGTGGTTGCAATATGGAAAAATGTGAAAATACACATGACTTTTGATTACTTTTGCAAAACAATGTACACTATTTCCACATGGTTTACTATTGTTTGGATTAACGAGTTGAAGTTCTAGTGGGAAACACGCATCTATAATGCTGAACAAGTTTTAAATGCAAAACGCTCAATCTTTTTGGAGGTGCTCCCTAAACCTGCAACACTGAGCATGTAGCTAAAGGTGCATCTCAATACTTTTATCATTTAGCATCACTGAAAGGCAATGCAGAACTTCTTTAAATCACATTATCACTTGTACACAGATTGAAAATATCCAGAAATAGGCGAGAATTGTGGAAAAAGTACTTTTTGGTGAGTTAAATGCAGAGATCTACAGCTAGGAGGTACCAGAGCACACCTATTCTTCACTTCATTCAAGCTGTTAGTCTTGAATGAATGTGGTTTGGTGGTGCGCTACACTGCAATGAACACAAAATGCATCTGTCAGCAGCACTGGCTCACCACCAGATGAATAAAACGCTATGTGAGCTCTTCATGGTGCTTGCTTCAGACACAGTGGGTGGGCCCCTCATCACAGGAAAGATGCTAATGAGCTAACCCATACTGGTAAAATCCCATCGACCCAATAGTCTGTCTTGAAACACTATGCCCAGTGTTTGCTGGAGTTCTGGATCCCGATTAAGAAACAACTGATCCTTTCCTGAGCAGCCGTCTGGCTTTAGTATTTTTCACCCAGTTTAGGAAATTGCAAGTGCTTTCATGTGTAAAACTTCCTCAGCTAGCCACAGTATAGTACTGTATTAAACTTTTGCCATGAAGCTTACATCATACAAGGGTTGTCTAAAGGAGGAGCATTCTGCTGGTGCAGACCTTTGTCACATATAATTTTGGGTTCAAGCGTATTTTGTGAATAACAATTACAATTGCTGGATGTCAGAAAAAAGTAGAAGCATTGTGTTTGAGTAATTAAAGTCGACTGTCAGGGTGTCACGCTGTACGGTTAAAAAAAAAAAAAAGAGAATGCATCATAATTTCGCCGTAATGCAGTTAAGCCTATTTAAATTTGTGCCAGTTCTGTGGCTCGATATGAATATGTAATTTGGATGACAGGGTGTTTTAGGCTGTGTGTGTCTCTTACAAATGGAAAAGAAGTTTGTTGTCGATGATGTGAGTCTGTTTTGGGGTGTGTATTAGTGGCAGAAGAGATCCTGTGGTTGATCGTGGTGGTTGGGACTCCATTACAATCAACAGAGGGCTCATCATCACCGAGATCAAGAACCATGACGTTATACGTGTTATTAAAACAGCCAAAACTGCTACCTGTGCGTCTAATCACAGGTAGCAGTTCTGACGCCTGTTCATTTCCAACCGGTTACTGACAAACAATGAACTTATGGAGGGAAGGAGAATACAGCTGAAGAGAGAAGAAGTGGGGGGTGCATTGTTAGGGAATCCAAAGGCGGCGTAATTAGGCCCAATGGATCCCAGATGGCTGGCTGTCAGTGACGTGAGAAGAGGGACGAGCTCCTAATAGGAACCAGACGCGCACAAATGCCTTTGAACTGCCGCTGAGAGAAAAAGAGCGAGTAAGAGGGAATCAAACGCGGCATGGGCCATGCGCTCTTGCTAAATAACTGGCAGCAGGAGAGAAGAGGAAGGAAGACGGAGAGTAGAGAGGCTTGGAAAGTGGTCTCTGCTCAGTAAAGTGCACAATATGAGGACCTTTCATATAAAAAGTTGAAAGTATTTTTCACTTAGGAAAACATGTTTGGTGTTTGACACCTGTCTACCGTCAGATCCTTGCTGGGGGTTTTTTTGTGTTTTTTTTCCTGCAATTACAACAAAGAGACATTTCTTCTTTTATCATCAGGGTTCTGCTTCACATTCAAACAGTTGCACACATTTACACCTGGGAGGTGCACCACCTCTTAGGGTTGGCTGTCTTCCAGCCGTGGATCAGGAACTGAGATCAAGCACTTGGCGCTTTGCCTTTGATAATTTTTTTTCTTTTCATCATTTTAAAATGGAAGAGTGTGTTCAGCCCAGTAAATGCTTGTAGTTACCATCTCCAGATATAAGGCCTTCACTGGACGGACGTTCTAGTAGAAATCACTTCAACGACCCTGTTTTAATTTTGTTGTGTTGGCATCGGAAATCTTTTTTTTTTTTTTTTTTCCTCCGTCCTGCTCTGAAATGAATCCAATCACATTATGACTACTCCTTTTTACCCGTCATTATGTTTTATTTACTCCTAACAGTTCTCCTGATCACCTGTTGAAATGGTGAATGGGCTTTCGGGTTTCCTGTCGAACGTGAAGGATTGGGCTGTAACGGCTCTCCGTTTTCCCTCTCTCGTCTCCAGGGCTGTGGTGATGCCTATTGCCCACGAGTTTTCCCCGGACGTGGTCTTGGTCTCCGCCGGCTTCGATGCTGTTGAAGGACACCAACCTTCATTGGGAGGATACACCGTCACAGCCAAGCGTAAGGAGCAGCCAGCGCTCTGTGTACACTCATCAGAGCTTCTCAAAACAGTTTAATACCTGTATTTGTTATGCGTCTTACTTTTTTTTTTTTGACAGACATCATTTTTCCTTATGAAACCTTTATGACGCAAATCTTTGATATTGGCATTATGATGAGCTAAAAAAAACAAGCACTTATTTAAAAGTGACGCTTTTACTGAATTTTTGTTTCCTTTCCAACTAATCTGTGTTTTTTTGGTTTGATCTCTACTAGTTTTTGGCTTCTTGACTCGTCAGCTGATGTCGCTGGCAGGAGGCCGGGTCATCCTCGCTCTGGAGGGGGGCCACGACCTCAAAGCCATCTGTGATGCCTCTGAAGCCTGTGTCAGCGCCTTGCTCGGCATGGAGGTGAGACGTGTCGTGTCTCGTTCCACAGATTAACGCAGCGCGTCACGTCCTCAGATCACTAACTGTGTGGCGTGTCTCAGGTGGAGCCTCTGTCCCAGTCGCTGTTGGACCAAAAGCCCTGTGAGAATGCGGTGCGCTCTCTGCAGAGAGTCGTCCAGATCCAGGGTGAGAAAGACAACGTCAGCTTTACTGCAAAGAATAACATTTACAAGGGAAAAATGGTCAAATAAAGCAAACTTACTAGTTGTACTTGGAGTAAATGTATTCAGTTAGTCTCTTGTAAAGCTTTGCAAATTTGAACTTCCTAGCAGTCTAAATACAACCGTTCAGAGATTTATTTTGAGAACATCGGTGAACAAACATTATTATAAAGACCTAGAAATACATCAGACAGGGCAGGAATGAAACTAAAGAAGAGTTAAACATGTTATAAACAAATATAATTTGGACACTCTGGACATTCTGATGGAACATTTTTTAAGTCCATCATTCAAAGGTTTTAAGAGGCTATAAAAGATGGAGGTTCAAGTTCCAGGAAGACAAAAACACTAAGCAAACAGCAAAACTCCACCCTATGAATGTTCAAAGTTGGTTGGGTAATACCCACAAGACTTTGCAACAGAAAGTGTTTCTACCTGATATCAATATGGAGGGGCAGAATTTATTTTTTTTGCTCCCAAACAACAACAACAAAAATGTCCAAACCATGTATCATTTTGCTTTAGCTAGTGGTATTGCATACAATCCCAACCAGACGAAGCGAAGATATTGGTTGCAAAGCGACAAAATGTGAAAAAAGTTCACGAGTCATGAATACTTTGTGAGATACTTTATGTTCCCCTGCAGAATTTTGCAGCACTGATTGAGTAATTTCTGTTGTAATGAGTCTAGGGCACACTAACAAAGAAACTCCAAGCCTTGCAGATAATTTGTACAACAACTGTCACAATAAATAGGAGCTGAAGATAAATTTTCCTCAGTCGGCTGGAAGGGAGTATACAGGCTTGCATCAACAAATATTTTTCAGGAAATGATTTATGTGGGCCACATTGTTCATACTCCTTGGTGATGAATGAGGTGTATGCTCATATTATTTGATTACATTATTTTTTTATACATATCAACCCTATAAATACCTTATGTAAATGAGGCTTTCGAGTCACTGTTGATATGGATCAATAAAGCCTCAACAGAACGTTTTATGTTAACGATTAATTGTTTTCCTGTCTAGTTTTTACCCAACAGTTTGTCTTCTTAGCGTTTCTGTTCTCAGTAACTCGTAACAATCCCCCTTTTCACTCTATTTAACACGTTTTGACCTCTTTGCTTCTGCTCTCTGACCACCTCTCCTCCCTTCCATCCCTGTCTCCCATCCCTCCAGCCGTCCCGCAAAGCAGACACACACACACACACACACACATGCACGCAGCTACCCTGGCTCCAATTATCTTCAAACACTTCTCTGGCACACGACCTTCGCAACATCCCCTCCTGATTGCACACAAATGTTATCCCAACCAAATTAGATTAATTAAAAATATTTGAATAGCCACAGGAATGTTAAGCCCATAATTCAGGCCCGGGGTGAAGTATATGTAAGTTGTATGCTCAGCCAGAACACACGCACTTATAGAGAAGCAAATTTACAGTCGCTGGTTTCTTTCTATTTTCTGTTTTCCCCCGTTGTGTGACAAAGGACCGTGAGCCCTGAGAGAGCAGACTGAGTCTGAGTTTACATTTCTGAAATTATCAAAACGGATATTTGGACCAGAGGCTGTTTATACCACAGCCTTTGCTTATATTCACATCAAACATCTACATCTAGCGGATCAAACAGCAAGCTGTACTTTCGGTTAGCTCAGGCGTGTCCCCTCAAGGAGAAGTTCAGGATGAAAACAGGAATAAAACCAAAACTTAAGCCATTAATCTTTTTTTTCCCCTTTTTTGTATCCTTCCTCTTTTCCATCTTTTCCTTTTCCTCTCAGGTGAGTTCTGGCAAAGTGTGAGGGATTCAGCCACGACCGTGGATCTGTCCTACCTGCAGGCGCAGAGACACAGATTCAGGCGAGACTCGGACAGCGAGGCGGTCAATGCCATCGCTTCGCTGTCAATGGGGTCCCTCACATCAGAAAGGTAAAAACAAAACAAAAAAACACATTACGATTATTATCAGCTTAGCCACGTTTGAGTTTTATCCCCACTCAAAACTCAAAATTGGATCCAATCAGCAACCTGTGAGGAAGAACATAGAAACGAGCTGCACTTTCTAACATATCGCAGTAAGTCTGGTTTATTGAACAGTGAGACAGCAAGAGAGAACGAGACGTTCTGCAGGTAACAGGAAGACTGAACACCCTGTTTTATTCTTTTGAGCTTTCAATGTCTATCGGGTAATGAAGCTTGTTGGTTTTGTAAATGTCACAGCTTGAATTCTCGATGGGATACGCACAAAGGCCAACCTTTTAGTAATGCTAACCACACTAATCACTGGTTTAAGATGCTAATGACAGCTTAAAATGTCAACTCTCTAAACAGGCTCTCTTTCTTTTAAAAGAGTAAAATTCTGCTTCAGGGCCCACTCTGACACAAAGTGTGGTGTTGTTTTTTTTATTTATGATTGTTCACTGCACAGTAACAGAAAGAAAGAAAACATTCAATATATACTTTTTAGCCTGTCTTCTTATGTATCATGTTTTTTTTTTTTTTTTTTTTTTAATCAGAATTGGCAAAATTCCAATCAGTTCATCTCTAATTATCTACAACCTCAACATAACAGTATTGCATTTTATGTCCAACATCTTTCTCTTTCTTTTTTAAAGGAAACCGCTTGAAAGAATGTGAAGAAAAAAAAGACCCATCTGAGGACAGAGCAACCCAATTAAAGCTTTCAACTCAGACTCAGTGGAAACATGCGCGCACACACACACACACACACACACGCACGCATATATATGTGCATTTGGATCATCACTGGAACATACAAACCTGCATTACTACTGGCTGCAGCACGGCCACGGACTCAGACACAAGGAACCGTCTTCATCTCGTGCCACATTCATGTCCCCAATAGATTTCTTCTGCCTTTTCCTGACAGCAACATTGATCACTGAAGTTAAAAGGAAAAAAAAAAAAAAGTAAAAATGTCCAATGACTGAATAATGAAGACCTGGTGAAACAGGATGTAGCATCAGCAGAGATGAGAATTTGTTACTGATTGCGGTGAAACCTGCACGGACCACTGAGACTTTCTTTTTTTTTTTTTTTTTTTGTTAGCAAATGTTGCGGTGGGCAGGGGGGAGGGGGGGGGATGGGGTATTTTTTTTTT